ACTCTCATTTTATAATGTCGTATACTGTTGAGATTGATTTTCTTTTGATGACCTAGGTAACTCGATCTTAATCTTGAGCTAACCATGAACTCCTATTTATTCGGAATTATCCTTAGATTTGCATTGGTGAGAGTGGCTCGAGTTTTCCGACTCAATAGGCCTCCCATTTCAGGGGTAAGACTAGGTGAATGGCTGGGGACGTGGGGTGCAAGATGGAATTCACTCCTACCCACTTTTAGGGATAGAAGAGAGGTAGTTCCCTTAAGTACTGGCTCCAGGTCTTGAACAAGGGTCCCCACCCTCTCATTGGCCTGAAAGGGATTTGGTTTACTGGTTGGACCACAAACCAATTGTTCATTTGATGATCAGTGGGACATAAGGAACAAGAAGTAACTTCAGGGGTAAAACGGTAAATTGACCCATCTCTAGTTATGAACAACCTGTGAAGGATCGACATACTAATCGTGGTTATATCAAATGGATAGAAATATATCTATAGTGAGGGGAGTGCAACTACTAGGCTATAGTGGAGTGTCCTAGTAGTTAACAAATGTTGGTTAACAAAGTTAATGAGTTTAATCGGTTAATCTTGGATCGTTGGAGCCCATGATCTATAGGTCCATTAGGTCCCTCTGCTAGCTCATATTAGACTAAACCATAGAACAGTATGACGAGTGAGTTCGAAGTGTTCGAATTCAAATTAGAGAATATGCACTACATATATACGATATATTTAACCGCATTTTTGTTTTATTTACGAATTAAACAAAAAGTGAGAATTAGAGAGATTTAAATATTTTAATCAAATATGTGTCAGAATTGATTGAGATTGACATTTGAATTAATATTAAATATTAATTAAATAATTTAATTAATCCTTTAATATTACTTTAATTTGAAATTAATTATTCAAATTAATTGTTGAATCAAAATGAAGAAAGTCAAAATTTTGACTTCATTTAATGGAAAAATTCATGTTTAAGTTAGTGGAATTTTGAGGTGTCAAAATTTGGTTTAACCAAACTTGCATGCTTGCCAAATAAACCCCACAAATTTGAGTGGAATTTTGAGTGATCAAGGTACATGGAAGTTCTGGCTTGGAAAAACATTGAGAAAAACTCTCACAAACTCTCTGTTCATATATACTAAATCCCTCTCAAGTTTAGTCACTCACCAGATTCCACAATCCTATTCTAAGGGCGGAGAATAGTGGAGAAGACACTAGTGGTGGTTCGAAACTTGTTCGTGAGGAAAAAGGAATTTGAACTACAAAAGGTTAGTACTCAAAGATCTTTAGTTTTAATACTTATGAACATGCTAGTTATTTACTATAATTGATGTTCTAAGAGTGCCTAAGATCCAAATTGCTTCCGCATGTGTTATATTAACTCCATAAAAAACATTGTTTGTAGAGGATGATTCAATAACTTGCAAGAATCCTTTCTAGAATAACTTGTTCAAAATATATTCTTAGTTTTAGATGATCATATAAACACATATATTTGTAAACCTTCAAAAATGATTGCATAGCGTAATGGATTAGTGTGTTTGACTTTGAATCAAAAGGTTTCTAGGGTGATGATTCAATAACTTGCATGTTCATCAGTTTTTCAAGGGTGATGATTCAATAACTTGCATGTTCATAAGTATTAAAACTTAATTATAAGAATATGTGATATTATAAGAATATGTGATTCTTAACTAAAGACTTGAAGTTTATTTCTAGGGTGATGATTCAATAACTTGCATGTTCATAAGTATTAAAACTTAATTAAAATATATTCTTAGTTTTAGCATGTTCATCCGTATTAAAACTTAATGAATTTGAATACTAACCTTTTGTAGTTCAAATTCATTTTTCCTCACGAACCAGTTTTGAACCACCACTAGTGTCTTCTCCACTATCCTCCGACCTTAGAACGGGATTGTGGAATCGTGACTAAACTTGGGAGGGATTTAGTATATATGAAGAGAGAGCTTGTGAGAATTTTTTCAAGGTCTTTTTCAAGGAAAAAGACCTTCCATGTACCATGATCACTCTATTTAAAGAGTCATGTTCGCATGTTCATGCAAATTTGAGATCACCAAATTTTGACACTCAAAATTCAATTCAAATGTTTGGGATTATGTGGCAAGCATGCATGTTTTAGTTAACCAAATTTTGACACTCAAAATTTCACTCAAACTTGTGGAGTTTATTTGGCAAGCATGCAAGTTTGGTTAAACCAAATTTTGACACCTCAAAATTCCACTAACATGGTTTTTCCATTAAATGAAGTCAACCTTTTGACTTTCTTCATTTTAATTCAATAATTAATTTCAATTTAAAGTAACATTAAATGATTAATTAGACTATTTAATTAATATTTAATATTAATACAAATGTCAATCTCAATCAATTCCGATACATAATTGATTAAGATATTTAAATCTTATTTAAATATCTCAAATTCTCTCTTTTTGTTTAATTCGTAAATAAAACAAAAATGCAGTTAAATATATCGTATATATGTAGCGCATATTCCCTAATTTGAATTTGAACTCTTCGAACTCACTCGTCACACTGTTCTATGGTTTAGTCTGATATGAGCTAGCAGAGGGACCTAATGGACCTATAGATCATGGGCTCCAACGATCCAAGATTAACTGGTTAAACTCATTAACCTTGTTAACCAACATTCGTTAACTACTAGGATACTCCACTATAGCCTAGTAGTTGCACTCCCCTCACTATAGATATATTTTTGTCCATTTGATATAATCATGATTAGTAAGTCGATCTTTCACAAGTTGTTTGTAACTAGACCTGGGTCAATTAGCCGTTTTACCCCTGAAGTTACTTCTTGTTCCTTATGTCCCACTGATCATCTAATGAACAATTCGTTTGTGGTCCAACCAGTAAACCAAATCCTTCTCATGCCAATGAGTGGGTGGGGCCCCTTGTTCAAGACCTGGAGTCAGTACTTAAGGAAACTACCTCTCTTCTATCCCTAAAAGTGGGTAGGAGCGAATTCCATCTTGCACCCCATGTCCCCAGCTATTCACCCAGTCTTACCCCTGAAATGGGAGGCCTAGTGAGTCGACGAACTCGAGCCACTCTCACCCATGCAAATCTAAGGATAATTCCGAATAAACAAGAGTTCATGGTTAGCTCAGGATTAAGATCGAGTTACCAAGGTCATCGAATGAAAAGAAAATCAGTCTCAACAGTATACGACATTATAAAGAGAGTGATTTTCTTCATAGTCCGATCTTATGCAATACTCATTGCATAGGACACCCCCACTCACATGTCTCCACATGTACAATTTAGTGATCACATTGTTTATATCATATACAAAAGTTGGCCGCATCCATAGTGTCCCCAGAATAAGGTACTCAGCCTTATTCTTATACTATAGATCATTTTGACTATATACTTGAACTTGATCTACTTTTATGTCTCTACATATAGTTCAAGTAATCATACTATAGCCAGAGTGTTCTTAGTTTATTGGATTTAGATTAATGATCGTAAAGTTCACTTTATTCAATAACAATCTTTACTGAATAAACATCCATAATAACTTTATTGAAAATAGAATATGTGTTTGTTTACAAACTATGATTTTTAGGACATAAAACCCAACACCACTATGGTCGTCAACCTAAGCCTAGAACATCATTTGTAGGGGGATGAATCAATAACTTGCAAGAATCCTTTCTAGAGTAATTTGTTCAAAATATATTCTTAGTTTTCAATGGTCATATGAACACTCATATTTGTAAGCCTTAAAAAATGACTACATAGCGTAGTGGATTAGCCGTCTGACTTCCGATAAGAAGGTTGTGGGTTCTCGACTCCCATTTTGGTCGCAACCTAAACCTAGAACATCGTTTGTAGGGGGATGATTCAATAACTTGCAAGAATCCCTTGGATTAACGCGTCTGACTTCGTATCAGAAGGCTTTGGGTTCTCGACTCCCACTGTGGTCGTTAACCTAAGCCTAGAATATCGTTTGTAGGGGGATGATTCAATAACTTGCCACAACCTTTACGGAGTAATTTGTTCAAAATATATTCTTAGTTTTAGATGGTCATATGAACACCCATATTTGTGAAATTTAAAAAATGACTGCATAGCGTAGTGGATTAACGCGTCTGACTTCGGATTAGAAAGTTGTGGGTTCGACTCCCACTGTGGTTTTCAACCAATATGAATTAGCACGTCTGACTTCAGATAAGAAGGCTGTGGGTTCTCGACTCCCACTGTGGTCATCAAACTAAACCTAGAACATCGTTTGTAGGGGGATGATTTAATAACTTGCCAGAATTCTTTTCGGAGTAATTTATTCAAAATATATTTTTAGTTTTAGATGGTCATATGAACACGAACACCCATATTCGTGAATCTTAAAAAATGGCTGCATAGCGCAGTGGATTAGCGCATTTGACTTCGGATTAGAAGGTCGTGGGTTAGACTCCCACTGTGGTCATCAACCAAGACCTAGAACAACATTTGTAGGGGGATGATTCAATAACATGCAAGAATCATTTTCAGAGTAATTTGTTCAAAATATATTCTTAGTTTTCAATGGTTATATGAACATCCATATTTGTAAACCTTAAAAAATGACTACATAGCGCAGTGAATTAGCACGTCTGACTTCAGATAAGAAGGTTGTGGGTTCTCGACTCCCACTGTATTAGCACGTCTGACTTCAAATAAGAAGGTTGTGGGTTCTCGACTCCCACTGTGGTCGCAACCTAAACCTAGAACATCATATGTAGGGGGATGATTCAATAACTTGCAAGAATCCCTTGGATTAGCGTGTCTGATTTCGTATCAGAAGGCTTTGGGTTCTCGACTCCCACTGTGGTCGTTAACCTAATCCTAGAATATTGTTTGTAGGGGGATGATTCAAAAACTAGCAAGAATCCTTTACGGAGTAATTTGTTCAAAATATATTCTTAGTTTTAGATGGTCATATGAACACCCATATTTGTGAACCTTAAAAAATGGGTGCATAGCGCAGTGGATTAGCGCGTCTGACTTCGAATCAGAAGGTTGTGGTGGGTTCGACTCCCACTGTGGTCGTCGACCAAAACTTAGAACAACATTTGTAGTGGGATGCTTCAATAACTTGCAAGAATTATTTTGGGAGTAATTGGTTCAAAATATATTCCTGGCAATCATCAACCAAAGCCAATATTGTTTGTAGGAGTGGGATGAAACATTGTTTGTAGAGAGGGATGATTCAATAACTTGCAAGAATCCTTTCCAAGAGTAATTTGTTCAAAATATATTTGCAGTTTTAGATGGTCATATGAACACACATGACTTCGGATTAGAAGGCGGTGGGTTCTCGACTGCCACTATCGTCGTCTACCCAAGCCTAGAACATCATTTGTAGGGGGATGATTCAATAACTTGCAAGAATCCTTTCTGGAGTAATTTGTTCAAAATATATTCTTAGTTTTAGATAGTCATATGAACACCCATATTTGTGAACCTTCAAAAAATGACTACATAACACAGTGGATTAGCGCGTCTGACTATGGATTACAAGGGTGTCGGTTCTCGACTCCCAATGTGGTTGTCAACCTAAGCCTAGAACGTCGTTTGTAGGGGGATGATTCAATAACTTGCAAGAATCCTTTTCCGAGTAATTTGTTCAAAATATATTCTTAGTATTAGATGGTCATATGAACACCCATATTTGTAAACCTTAAAAAATGACTGCATAGCGCAGTGGATTAGTGTGAATGACTTCGGATCAGAAAGTTCTGGGTTTGACTCCCACTAGGGTCGTCAACCAAAACTTGAACTTCATTCGTAGGGGGGATGATTCAATGACTTGCAAGAATCCTTTTCGGAGTAATTTGTTGAAACTATATTCTTAGTTTTAGATGGATGGTCACATGAAAACACAACTTTGTAAACCATAAAAAATGAATGTATAGCGTAGTGGATTAGCGCGTTTGACTTCGGATCAGAAGGCTATGGGTTCTCAACTCCCACTATGGTCGTCAACCTAAGCCTAGAACATCGTTTGTAGGGGGATAATTGAATAACTTGCGAGAATTCTTTCCGGAGTAATTTGTTCAAAATATATTCTTAGTTTTAGATGGTCATATGAACACCCATATTTGTAAACCTTCAAAAATGATTGCATGACACAGTTGATTAGCGCGTTTAACGTCTGATCATAAGGTTGTGGGTTTGACTCCCACTGTGTGGTCATCAACTAAAGATTTGAGCTTCATTCGTAGGGTGAGGATTGAATAACTTGCAAGAATCCTTTTCAAAGTAATTTTTTCAACATATATTCTTAATTTTAGATGGATGGTCATACGAACACCCATATTTGTAAACCTTAAAAAATGACTGCATAGCGTAGTGGATTAGCGTGTCTGACTTCGAATCAGAAGGTTGTGGGTTCTCGACCCCCACTGTGGTCATCATCCTAAGCCTAGAACATCGTTTGTAGGGGGATGATTCAATAACTTGCGAGAATTCTTTCCGGAGTAATTTGTTCAAAATATATTCTTAGTTTTAGATGTTATATGAACACCCATATTTGTGAACCTTACAAAATGACTGCATAAGATGGATTATCACGTTTAACTTCGGATCAGAAGGCTGTGGTTTCTCGACTCCCACTATGGTCGTCAACCTAAGCCTCGAACATCGTTTGTAGGGGGATGATTCAATAACTTGCAAGAATTCTTTTCGGAGTAATTTGTTCAAAATATATTCTTAGTTTTAGATGTCATTTTCGGAGTAATTTGTTCAAAATATATTCTTAGTTTTAGATGTCCTTTCGAGAGTAATTTGTTCAAAATATATTCTTAGTTTTAGATGGTCATATGAACACCCATATTTGTAAACCTTAAAAAATGACTCCATACCGGAGTGGATTAGTGCGTTTGACTTCGGATTAGAAGGTCATGGGTTAGACTCCCTCTTTGTGGTCGTCAACCAAAACCTTTCACTTCATTCGTATGGTGATTATTCAATAACTTGCAAGAATTCTTTTCGGAGTAATTTGTTCAAAATATATTCTTAGTTTTAGATGGTCATATGAACACCCATATTTTTAAACATTAAAAAATGACTGCATAACGTGGATTATCGCGTTTGAATTCGGATTAGAAGGTTGTGGGTTCTCGACTCCCACTGTGGTCCTCAACCTAAGCCTTGAACATCGTTTGTAGGGGGATGATTCAATAACTTACGAGAATCATTTTCGGAGTAATTTGTTCAAAATATATTCTTAGTTTTAGATGGTCATATATACACTCATACTTTGGGTCAGAAGGTAGTGGGTTTGACTCCACTGTTGTTGTCAACCAAAACCTAGAACATCATTTGTAGGAGGGTGATTCAATAACTTGCAAGAATCCTTTACGCAGTAATTTGTATAAAATATATTCTTAGATTTTAATGGTCATATGAACACCCATATTTGTAAACCTTCAAAAATGATTGCATAGTGCATGGATTAGCGTGTCTGACTTCGAATCAGAAGGTTGTGGGTTTTACTCCCACTGTGGTCGTCAATCAAAACAGATTAGCACGTCTGACTTTGGATCAGAAGGCCGTTGGTTCTCGACTCCGACTATTGTCGTCCACCTAAACCTAGAACATGTTTGTAGGGGGATGATTCAATAACTTGCAAGAATCCTTTTTGGAGTGATTTGTTCAAAATATATTCTTAGTTTTAGATGGTCATATGAACACACATATTTGTACATTAGCGCACGTCTAATCTTAAAAAATGATTGCATAGTGTATTCATTAAGCACGTCTGACTTTAGATCAGAAGGTAGTGGGTTTGACTCCACTGTTGTTGTCAACCAAAACCTAGAACATCATTTGTAGGAGGGTGATTCAATAACTTGCAAGAATCCTTTACGCAGTAATTTGTATAAAATATATTCTTAGATTTTAATGGTCATATGAACACCCATATTTGTAAACCTTCAAAAATGATTGCATAGTGCATGGATTAGCGTGTCTGACTTCGAATCAGAAGGTTGTGGGTTTTACTCCCACTGTGGTCGTCAATCAAAACAGATTAGCACGTCTGACTTTGGATCAGAAGGCCGTGTTTTACTCCCACTGTGGTCGTCAATCAAAACAGATTAGCACGTCTGACTTTGGATCAGAAGGCCGTTGGTTCTCGACTCCGACTATTGTCGTCCACCTAAACCTAGAACATGTTTGTAGGGGGATGATTCAATAACTTGCAAGAATCCTTTTTGGAGTGATTTGTTCAAAATATATTCTTAGTTTTAGATGGTCATATGAACACACATATTTGTACATTAGCGCACGTCTAATCTTAAAAAATGATTGCATAGTGTATTCATTAAGCACGTCTGACTTTAGATCAGAAGGTAGTGGGTTTGACTCCACTGTTGTTGTCAACCAAAACCTAGAACATCATTTGTAGGAGGGTGATTCAATAACTTGCCAGAATCCTTTATGCAATAATTTGTATAAAATATATTCTTAGTTAGGAGGGTGATTCAATAACTTGCCAGAATCCTTTATGCAATAATTTGTATAAAATATATTCTTAGTTTTTAATGGTCATATGAACACCCATATTTGTAAACCTTCAAAAATGACTGCATAGTGCATGGATTAACGTGTCTGACTTTGAATCAGAAGTTTGTGGGTTTTACTCCCACTGTGGTCGTCAATCAAAACAGATTAGCACGTCTGACTTTGGATCAGAAGGCCGTGGGTTCTCGACTCCGACTGTTGTCGTCCACCTAAACCTAGAACATGTTTGTAGGATCAGAAGGCCGTGGGTTCTCGACTCCGACTGTTGTCGTCCACCTAAACCTAGAACATGTTTGTAGGGGGATGATTCAATAACTTGCGAACCCTTTTTGGAGTGATTTGTTCAAAATATATTCGTAGTTTTAAATGGTCATATGAACACCCATATTTGTACATTAGCGCACGTCTAATCTTAAAAAATGATTGCATACTGTATTCGATAAACACGTCTGACTTTGGATCAGAAGGTCGTGGGTTTGACTCCACTGTGGTTGTCAACAAAACCTAGAACATGATTTGTAGGAGGATGATTCAATAACTTGCAAGAATCCTAGTCGGAGTAATTTGTTCAAAATATACTCTTAGTTTTAAATGATCATGTGAACACCCATATTTGTAAACCTTAAAAAATGACTGCATAACGTGGATTAGCACGTCTGACTTTGGATCAGAAGGTTGTGGGTTCTAGACTCCCACTGTGGTCGTCAACCTAAGCCTAGAACATCGTTTGTAGGGGGATGATTCAATTCAATAAATTGCATGAATCCTTTTTCTAGTAATTTGTTCAAAATATATTCTTAGATTTAGATGGTCATATTAACATACGTATTTGTAAACGTTCAAAAATGACTGCATAATACAGTGGATTAGCGCGTTTGACTTCGGATCAGAAGGACGCGGAGTCTTCTCCCACTGTGGTCACAACCAAAACCTTGAACTTCATTCGTAGGGGGATAATTGAATAACTTGCAAGAATCCTTTTCGGAGTAATTTGTTCAAAATATATTCTTAGTTTTAGATGTCATATGAACACTAGGGTCGACTCCCACTGTGGTCACAACCAAAACCTTGAACTTCATTCGTAGGAGGATGATTGAATAACTCGCAAGAATCCTTTTCGGATTATATTCTTAGTTTTAGATGGTCATATGCACACCCATATTTGTAAACCTTCTAAAATGACTGCATAGCGCAGTGGATTAGTGTGTCTGACTTCGAATCAGAAGGTCTCGGGTTTGACTCCCATTGTATGGTCGTCAACCAAAACCTTGAACATCATTGGTACGGGATGATTCAATAACTTTTAAGAATCCTTTTCTTGGAGTAATTTTAGAAGGTCATGGGTTCGACTCCCACTGTTGTGGGATGATTCAAGATCCTTTCCTAAATAATTTTGTGAGTCATATCTCCAAGAATCATTAAAGATGGTCATATGAACACCCATATGTGTGCATTAACACCTCTAATTTTAAAAAATGATTGCATAGAGTAATGGATTAGCACATCTAACTTTGGATAAAAAG